TTTATATTGACGCTCAATTGTTTTAAAGTAGGGGGTGCTATCTTTCGAGGGGTGCTATCTTTCCAGACTTTACGGTATTTTAAAAATTTTTTTTTTAAAAAAATGTCTCAAGGTTCGAATAAAAGAAGACGTGGAGACGACATTCTTGAAAGAAGCGAATAAGTGTTTTAAGGATGGTGGTGGTGGTTATCGCCCGCCACTTGTCGTCACTCTAGTTATTTTTAAAAGAATGACAATGGTAGTCATATATATATACTCTAATGAATTAAAAATTTTCATGTCAAATTGATTATTTTATTGTTGATGATGACAGAAACATACTTGTAAATGATGAAAACAATGAAAACGATGATGCTCAATATTCCCAACAGGTAGCTGTTACAGCTGAACAAAACTCTGTATAATGATTATTTCTACAAATTGTGTTATTTAACTTTGTTTAAAAAGGAAAATATAATGAATACCGAATTGATCAATGATTTTGTTGGTAAATATAACCAAATGAAGAGACAATCGAAATGGCAACTACCATCAAATAAATATGCTGAAGATATCATTTTTGAATATGCCAAAAATTTAAGTTATGAGAGGTTTGTATTTAAGTTGATCTAAGAATATTTATTCTCATGATAATGTTCTGATTTTACAATTGTGTTATACTAGTCCAACTCATAGTTTTATTATCGATACCGAGAACAAGAATATAAAAGAATTATTTGAAGATGAGGATTGGTGTTATATAACAAGTCACAATTTATCATCTAATCCACAAATTGATGACGATCTGATGAATCATATATTTAAATATAGAAAGGTGGATACTATTTTATTTTTTTTCAGTTATCTTTAAGATCAATATATAATTTTAAAGCACTTCTTTTTCTTTAGGTTGAAACTCATCAAATGCGAGAAGTTATCAACTCAGGATTAAATATTGTATCTTATGATGCAAGAAAACACTATAATCATCATTACGTACATCAGGTCTTCTCAAATCTGTGAGTGCTTGAGTATATTTTTAACATAAATATCATCAGTATCTTTTTCAACTCATTATTTTTTTGCTATTAGCCTTCCAAGATATGAGCTTCGTCAGAAAGACTTTACAAGTTCACATATAGAAGGTTGGTATCTAACCAACATCTGGAGTGTGATAATTGATTTATGTCTTGTAGATATTGAAGAATTAGAATTTATCCGGTGAGCATTTTCTTTGTGCTTTTTAAATATTCACTTATATAATCCCCCTTATATATAAGAAAATTGCTTTCTAGTGGTGAGGGATGCTCGAGGGCTTCAAGTGAGAGAGAAAATCGCGGTAGAGACAACACTAATATAAGAATGCAGTTTGGAAGAAGATGTGATGGAATAGGTAGGGTACTAGGATCAATTGATGAATTTGCATTAAGTGAAGAAGGAAAAAATTGGGAAGGAGAGACAGCTAGTAAATATTTGTTGGATAGAGGCTTAAAGGCTCCAAAAATCATGAAAGACATGATTCAGCAAAAAAATTAATAAAGTTGGAATTGATTTTGTAAAAAAAAATCATATTGAAATAATTGGATTTCACCATGCTGGTAAATATCTTTTACAATCAATTGATTTTCTCATATTTTTCATGCATATTGATTAGTGTCCACTATGTTACAAGCTCAACATCTTAAAATACATGTCATGGATGTTCCAGCTGGTTATGTTTGCAGACTTCGAAGTTCTTGCAGAACAAAAATACCATCAACTCTACTAGAAGTGGATGAATTAATTACAATGGTTAACGAAGTTTTAATTGCAAAGGTATGTTTTCTCACAGATTGTAATATGATTATCAACTAAGACAACTTATCTTATGATTTACTATTTTATCAGCTTAGGATAAAGAAATCTTAAATAAAATTAATTTTGTAAGTGATGATGGTTTCAAAAAACATTTAAGAGAAAGAACAAATTTTCAGGAAGAAGATTATGAATTTTTTGATTCTCAAAAATCATCAAAAAAACCAAAAACCAATAGTAGAAAAAAATGATTTTATCTGAAAACATTTATTGCTTAATTTATAATAAATAATATGTGTAAATAAATAATAATATTAATATATTGTGAAATGAAAATATTTCACGGGGGTATTAGTATGCTTATGGTTAAACAATACCAAATTATTTATACACACGTGTCTGAATTAAAATACTTTATCAAAAATAAGTGTTGAACATCTCCTCTTAACTGTAATCCCTGTCTTACCCAGTCAATCATGTACCAAAATATGACTTAAATATTAATCCAATATCCAATATAACAATCCTTACTGGTTGCTATTACAGTTTACCAATCAAGGATAAACCGTGGCACAAATTTTACGTTTTACACCTTCGAAAACTACCGCTGACTAGGAAACAAGTATATATATAGTTAAAAAATGGTGATTGCAATTGAAATTCTAATTAACTTGTAAATTTAATTTAAGGGAAAGTACAAATGATAAAGAAAACGTTTGTGATAATCATTACTATTGTTTGAGGGAAAGAACTAAACATAGGGTAATGAATATGATAATGATAACAAATAAGAATTTTTATGTCTTTGTAAGATTAATAGAGTTGATTACTTTAATAAAGAATCAATATTTAGTGATGATTTGAGTGCAACAACATTTGATAGTTTTTTTCAAACATACGATTCAAAAGCACATCAAAAATACGAAAGTTATTTTATTTATAAAAAAAGAACCTTCAGTTACTATGAATATTTTATTTACAATTTATTTTATGGTATTATTGATTACCTTAACTATGAGAGCTTGAAAATAGAGACTTCAAAGGCTTTTCTATACCTCAGGATGAAGTATGAAAACAAAAAGTATGAAGAACCAATTGCTGAGGAAAGTATTTAAATATTTTTTATTCTTTTAATGAAATTGCGAGATGAAAATTATCCTATAAGACTACAGACTTTAGATATTTAATTAAAAATGATTTTATTAACATTATGCTTATATCTTTTTTGTTTCTTTTTCTCAGAAGGAAACAATTGCTATTGAACTTCTAATAAATTTGATGAACAAAATCAATGATGACTTTACAAAAAGTCATGTATTATCATTTAAAATTATTGAATCAATAAAACAATTTGGATGGCATGATATTGACCCATTAGCAAACATCTCTACAACAACTGCATATGAAAAATTAAGACAAGTAACTACAATTATATATTTATTTCAGTAAATTTAAAAAATTTTAACACATCTATTTATCATAAAATAGTGGCAAAGTAGTGATAATGAAATTTTATCAACAATTGGCCAAAACCTAAGGCTCTGAACGAATCAATGAAATTCAAACTGATTTGAATCAATTCGAATTGCACCCTGATTCAATTCAAATATTAAATATATATAATTTGATTTGATTCATTTTGATTTGAACTGAATCGAATGTATAATTTGATTCGAACTAATTCAACTCAACTCAATTCAAACTAGTGATGGTGGCTGAAACTACACTTGATTGCTGAAATTAATTGGCCTAAACTTGGACGAAACTAATTTTAATGGCTGAAATTGGGAGTTTTTAAAATAAAGTAGATTGATTTAGATACTTATTGGACAAACTATCTTTTTTTCAAAACAGTTTCGACTACCATCACTAAATAATTTTCCATTTTAAATCTTTTAATCCTGAAACAAATGAACTATTTACTTGTATATCATTATTCTGTTGCAAGTAATTATATAGATTTTGAATGCTTTCTAAAGCGATTTTATTAGGTATTGGTGGGCAAATATCTTCTTCTTTATGTGCTTCTTGAACTGTTGCAATAATTTCATCATCATCAAGCATTTCAGTTCCTAAATGAGAATCAATCTCAATGTAACTTTTTGCTGTAATAATATTATCATTATTAACATTGATTTGATCAATAAGTAATCGTACTTCATCTATTTCAGGATCAACTTCCATAGTAATAGGTCGATCAGCTTCATTATCAGGTAGAATACCTGTTTTTTCTCAACATTTATCATGAATAATGACGAAATTATTATTACAGAAATTTATTGGATCATACATTACTAAAAATAGTAAAGATTATCTCTCAAGATTTATGAAAATCACGTGAACCGACTTATCGAGAGTCATTTATTATTATCTGGCTGGAGGAGTTGTCCGACTTACAGCTTAACAAGAGTTTATATATGTGTCTGACTTGTCAAGAAATTTTAAATATAGAAAAAAAGGGCTGGAAATTTTTGTCTGAGTTAGGCCAAAACTGACTTATCGAGTGTCCGACTTATCAAGTTTATCTATGTATTAATATTAATATATTATATAGGTGATGAATTATTTTTTTACTTAGTAGACCAAAGGTTCATCTATCCAGCATATTGTTGAATCCCTCTAGTAAAAATCAAAATACCATTGTTCACAACATGCAGCAAATCATCATTTATAGAATTTTTTGAAAAATCATATTTTATAAAAAAATATATAAAAAAGAACATTGAATTGTTAAAGCAAAAATACAAATTTGATGATGACAATAGTGAAGGAAAACCGGAAGAACAAGAAGGATCAACTGAAAAATATACAATAGAAGGACAAAATTTAGAAATGTATCATGTTACTAGTCATTTTAGCACACAACTCCAATTCATTCATCCAGATCTTGTTCTAGATCTAGAACTAGAAACCTTGATTGGATTTAATTATCTATATATTAATTGATTTAATATTATATGAAAATTGTAATTTTAAAAATAAACATTTATTATAATAGTTGCTTAATTAATTATCCTGAACATTTTTAATGTTTATCATTTACTACCATGTGAGATTGCAGAATTGAACCCATAAACTAAGGAAAAATGTAAACCCTGAATTGTTGCACAAAGAATAGTAAATTAGAACATTAAAAGATCCCATGATGTATTGAAAGTAGATAGAAAGATATGAGGAAATTATATTTATATTGTTTATTTTGATCTTGTGGAAAGAGAGTTCAAAATGCTCACTCTTTCACATGAAGAAACTTTTGATTGTTTGTCATGTATATACAAATATTAGTTTTATTCCTTTTAATTAAAATTTAAATTACAAATATGATGGATTTTTAATTTTATATACATGTATGCATGAACATCATAAAAAAGAAAAAATGTGATTAAAATTCCTAGAATATTAACAGGAATGGTTATATAAGTAGGTAGACATTTGGTATTTATTTGTTTTTACTAAATTAAATCCTGCTCATTTATATTAATTAATGACAAATTTCTCCATCTTCCTGGAACCTCTATTTTTAGTTTCCTCATTTGATCCCTGAAATCTGGTAACACCAATTTTCACTTTGTTTGGTTTTGTTGCAGCATACCCCATATGCAATTTTATTTAGCATGTTGTCATAATCCTTAGTATTGTTAATACTCAATAAGATCATTAAGAAAATTACACCTTTCCAATAATAAAGGAGGTGAAGATGAATGAAATCTTTGCTAGCATGTCAGTTGTGAATTCCATCACTCACAACATTGGGTCAAAATTCATTACAATTTGGAAGTTGTTGTTGAATTGAATTTGTTAATACTTCTGCTGTAATAAAAAATCAGATGAATGTCAAATTATAAATCAATAATGCAATTTATTTACTTGCTTGCTTTGATAAGCAGTTTATAATCAATTCTTTTAGCTTGGAAAATGTTGTGAATATTTTAAAGAACTTTCTCATGTTTGTTATCTTTCTATTTCTATAACATCTCTATCATTTCTTCCATTGTAGCCTTTTCAATTTAAATAATAATCCAAGGATAACTAGTTGTTAGTCATAACTCCAAAGAAATACATTGGACCCTGTATTTTTCATGAGACTTTGAACCAAAATTTTTTTTATTCTTAGGAATAGTGTAGCCTGTATAAATTTTATGCACATTAATGGAAATGCATAGTTAAAGCTGTTTAATCAATAACAAGAAAACAAGGAATAGTGCACATCTTGAGCAACTGCTAATGCTAAATCCAAACACATTGCATGGTTATTATGATTTAAATGGTTGTTAAATAAGTAAATCTTGATTTTATCCCTGGTCAGTTTGTGATTGAATTCTCTAAGCACATGATTTTGATAAATTATTTATGACAAATAAAAGTTTTTCAATTGACTGAATGTAATGTATTAAAAATGAACAGTGATAAAGTTATATTATAATCACATGCATAAAATTTCCATTAAACATAGTCATCATCATTATTAATTATAACAAACTTTTTTATATGTAAAAAATAATCTTTATTCATAAAAATAACAATGTATAAATAAAATACATAAAATATAATAATTAAAAACAAAAATTATTTATCTTCTAATTTTAGATTTTTAATTAGATCCACCATATCCTTATCCTTATGTTTTTTTTTAAAATTATGCACTACTATCTTTTTTTCAGAATTTAGTTGATATATCTTTTCACCCTTATAGGTTATTTGATATTTGAGAGGATGATTAATTAAAAAATAATTAGTTAAAGGTAATGGGTATTTGATGACTTCGTTTCTAAGTGTAACATCTTTACAAACTATCCCATCAGGAATCGGAATTTCATTATCATCATTTTTATTTATAAAAAATAATCTTGCACTATAATCTTCATTGGGCAGGGTTTCGATTTTAATTCTAAAATCAAGGCCTTCAAAATGTTGCTCATTACGATCTTCTACAAAATTACCATCAATATTTTTATTACCAACGAGAATAGAACCTCCAATAGACATGCTTCGATGTAAAAATTAAATAATTGTTTTTGTATTTAGGTTTGCATTAGTAAATTATGAAAATAAATAATCATACGAATGATAAAAACATACTTTATTTTTGTCAAAAAAATTCCTTTTTTACCAAATTTTTCGGCATTGTAAAAAATGTATTCATTGCATAGTATTTATAATAATAATAGATAAACAGTTTAATTAAAACAAATATAGTAATAGTTTATCAATTCGTCATGAAAATGTCATAAAGCACTTCTATATGGAAAAGTGGCGTGATAATGGTTACGTCATCAATAGTTAAAATGTAAATCTTTCCAATGTAAGAAGTAGTTTGTTTTTTATATTGCAAAAGTTCTTTGAAAAAAAAAAGAGTGAAGGGTGACCCAAAAGGAAACTCGAAATGGAAAAAATGCTATCATAGAGACTGGTCACTAATACATTTTAATTAGTCTTCGTAAATCATTCATTACCTAAACAGAAAAAATCACCGATCAACTTTCGAGGTTCGCATTAATACGATCAGACGGTCACGTACAGACAGAGTTTTATATTGGGCATCCAAGGTCATCTGACCGAATTTGTGATTTTTAATCTATTAATAAAAAAAATGGGAGGTTGTAGGCTGGATACCTTTTTTAAAATAATTTTGCGCAAGTCTAAAACTGAAAACCGCTTCTGAGGTCATTTGACGAAACTTGTTTTACTTACATCATAATATTAATCTATAACATAAAAAATTATAATATCATGTTCTGTTTGCTTAGTAGAAAAAACGAATTAAGTTTTATATCGTGTAATCAATTTTGGATCTACAAATTGTATGCTATTGGTGCAAAATTTCATGGTGACACAAATTATTGGCGATCACTTACTTTTTATTACCAGTCGAGTAAATGTCCAAATAACAAAAAAAAAAATTGAACAGTTCATAGAGTCTTCCAAGCATATACTTCTTGGTAGTATAGTCTCTTATCCTAATTTGGGGCATAATGCAACAAAACCATACAAAGTGAACATTAGTATTACCAAGAATTTCAAGGATCAAATTTAGTTATTATCATCACAATCAGTTTTATAATGTCCCATTTGTTAAGTGATATATAGAACCATAATTATATAAAAATAATTAATATGAAACTCGTTTACATCAGATCTACTATGGAACCCAAGAATTATAGCACTATCAGAAGTATTTTGAAGAAAGAACAAGGTGAAAAAATTGCTCCTTATGTTTTCAAAATAAATAATACTTAGAAACTGGAAACTTATCTAAAGAAAGAGGGAATCACCTATGAAATTTACCAAGAAGAAAGAAAAATAATAAACATTATGAAAAGAAAGCAGAATGAAGGTATCTATTACCTAACAAAAAGCAGAAATCCTTAGAAGAAAAATAATCTTATTATTATATTATTTATTTTTTACTGACAAAGGAAATTCTCCTTTATGCAAATATAATTAACAATCATCATATTGCATTACTCATAAATAAAAAAAACATCGCTGTTTGAACGAATTTTACATTCAAGAATATGTTTTATAAATCTTTATTTTACTCTCATTGACATTGAAACAAGATAAATAATCCCGCCTTATATTAGAACATTACTATAAGGTCGTTCAAATACATAAGACTGCTTAAAATCATTAAGGGGGGGTAAAATTTAAAGATAATTCGTGAAAGGAGTGTGTGTGGTCGACAGGGTGCATTTGTGATAGTTCGCTTTATTTTCCTATTATAACAAACATTTTGATGTCAAATAAATAGACTGTTATGAACATTTTTATCAAAAAAATATTCCCCTTTGTCCTAGCCATTTTTGTAACTATTTCAATCTTGATTGGGGATTATGGTATAAAAATCAACTTTTTTTACCCGTAATATTGGAATTTAATGACAAACTAAAAAATCATGTTCATTGGTTCGTATGTTTTTATGACATAATAATGTCCAACTCTTTCTAGGCTAATTCTTTTTTATGTTCTCTACTAAAACGCGTTATCCAGTTTTCTATATTTTTATTTTTGATAGCTTCTACTCTTTGTTTTAGATCTGGAGAATTGTTTCAACAGTGAGTCTATTCTTCTTATCTACATTTCTGGATTATTTTACTTGCTCGGACATGCGCTAACTTTCACAAAGAGCCTAAGCCAGTTCAAAGTGATTCATTCTATATAAAAATTTTAAATTTCATTAATTTGACATCTAGAAATATTTATTATAATTAATTCTTTTTCCAATTTACAGTTCACTTTCCCTATAATGGACCGCTTGGCTAGGAAAAAATGTCCGTTATAGAGCGAATCCATTATAATAATAATTTATATATGGACATATAAATTGGGCTTAATATTAAATTTCAGTCCGTTACAGAGCAAGATCCGTTACAGAAAGATCCGTTATAGAGAATGAACTGTTCCTATATTCATTCTTTTTAACTGTTTCATCTTAATTCCCAGGTATCATTATATGATGTTTTTTCGTTTCGCGCATTACAATTGGTATGGATGGTGCATTGTTCAACACTTCACCTTGGAATGAATTTCTATGCAAATTTTCATAGGGGATATAAGAAAAACAAACGTTTACT